AGTAGTAGTAGTAGTAGTAGTAGTAGTAGTAGTTAGTAGTCGTAGTAGTAGTCGTAGTAGTAGTAGTAGTAGTCGTAGTCGTAGTCGTAGTCGTTAGTCGTAGTCGTAGTAGTAGTAGTAGTAGTAGTAGTAGTAGTCGTTAGTAGTAGTCGTAGTCGTAGTCGTAGTAGTAGTCGTAGTAGTAGTAGTAGTAGTAGTCGTAGTCGTAGTCGTAGTCGTAGTCGTAGTAGTCGTAGTCGTAGTCGTAGTCGTAGTAATAGTAGTAGTCGTAGTCGTAGTCGTAGTCGTAGTCGTAGTCGTAGTCGTAGTTGTAGTCGTAGTCGTAGTCGTAGTCGTAGTCGTAGTAGTAGTAGTAGTAGTAGTAGTAGTAGTAGTAGTAGTAGAAGTAGTAGTAGTAGTAGCAGTAGTAGTAGTAGTAGTAGTAGTAGTAGTAGTAGTAATAGGGGAACAAGCCGCATCCTGCTTGTGACGAGCAGCAGGAGGAGCTTGAGAGAGTTGGTGGATGCGGAACAGGGCAACGTTGAGAAGCTAACGGAACGTCGCGCTTGCGCTCGCCACCCGCGCTTGCATACCAAAGCGGCCCGCAAGTGCGACCGAGGTCGGGCCTGAAGGACCGGCGCGCGCCCCTGGGCGGGCGTTTCCAGACAATGGATTGTGGCGGGCGTGATGGAATCTCTGCGCTACATCCCCTGCCCCTCGTCGGCCACACGCAGAGGGGTGTGTGGGGGAGGGCGGAAGGCTCCTCAGAACCACCCGGCTCCTTAGAAGGCGCGGGCCCTATCCATAGATGCAGGGCCGGCACCCTCTAAGAAGCAGCCTCCTTCTACTCAGAGCGTGAATTACCTACCCCGCTTTCGCCTCCAGGCAAAACCAAGCCATACCACGCGCCTCCTCGTCAAGCGGCCTGACCAGTACAGGCTGCAATTTGGCATCGTTTGGTATCTCTTGGAAGAGAGGGTGGTCAAAAGCGAGGTAGGTTTGTTTTCCCCCTATCTACGAAACCTCAACCCCTCCCCCCGCCGCCTTTTTGTGTGCGCCGCCAACCTCTCCTGGAGGACGGGGGGGGGGGCTCGGGCTGCTGCGGGGCGCAGGCGCCCGCCCGCCCTTGGAGGCCACAACGTGTCAGGAGGGGAAAAAACACAGAGACACAATCAATCGTCGATCCCCAGGAAAATATGGGAAAATATGGGAATTGGGCGGGAAGACAAAAACCCAGAAAATATGGGAAAATATGGGGAATATCTTTATTTGTGTGTATTTATTTGTGTGTCCTTGGGCCCCTTGAACGTGGCGCGATGGACTCGTCAGCTTCGCGTCGCGATGGAAGGCAGGAGGGATGGGTGGCGAGAGTGACGGACGGAGGGGACGGAATGCTGGAGGCCAGGGATGGAAGGGGGGAGTGTGGGGGGGGGGGAAGGTCGAAGACGAAAACACTGCACAAGCATGCGCTCTCTGCGCTGGGACCCCCTGGCGGCGCCTCACGCGCCGCCCCTGGCGCGCTCCGCGCACCAGGGAGCGGGGTCCACCTCAGGCCGCCGCCCCGCTGCTGGTGGCTCCCGCCCCCGGCGCCCCCCCCGCCGCCGCGTGGCTTCGCTCTGAGCGGGCCCGGCTTCCGTCTCCCTCCTGCCACCGCCGGGCGTTCCTCCTCTCCCCCGCGCATTGCGGCTGAAATCGCATTCGTATGCCCTATTAGTTCTCCTCCGCCAGCGCAGTCACTCTGCCTAGTCGCCGACGTAAAACATTTGAAAACACCTGTTCTGACTCTGGGTCGACCCCAGACTCTGGGGGGTCCTACCTCCTCTTCTTCCTCTGGACCTTGGATGGTGGCAGTTCAGGAGGAAAAGAAACACACAGACACAATTAAGATTCGTTTTTCCAGAAAATATAAGAAAATATGGAAAGTGGGCGGGAAGACAGAAACCCAGAGAATATATGAAAATATGGGGGATTATTTTATTTGTGTGTATTTATTTGTGTGTCCCTGGGCCCCTTCAGCAGTTCTTGCACATACAATTGATGCCATCGTCCTCTTCCTCCTCTTACTCCTCGTCCGCCTCCTCCTCATCCTCTGCCTCCTCCTCCTCCTCCTGCAGCTCCTCCTGCCTCCCCTCGTCCTCATCCTCTTCTTTTTTTTCTCCTGCTGGACCCCGAGAAACCCCTGAGCGAGTTGCCAGAGAGCCCCGAGACGGCTCCAGGAGGGGCCCAAGATGGCCAAAAGAGGCGCCCAGGAATTATATACCAGCGGGCCCCCAGTTTGTACATACTCCTGGGTCCCTCTTTGGGCCATCTTGGGCCCCTCGTGAAGCTGTCCTGGGGCTTTCTGGGGGCCCAGAGGGCCTTCGAGGGCCCTGAGAAGCACCCGAGAGGGCCCCAAGTGACGGCTCCGGGAGGGGCCCAAGATGTCCCTAAGAGAAGCCCAGGAGTTATGTACCATCGGGCCCTCGGTTGGTACATAACTAATGGGCCCCTCTTGGAGCTTTCGGGGCCTTCTTGGGCTCCGCTGGAGGGCCCTGGAGAAAGCCCAGGAGGGCCCCAAGACGGCTCCAAAGGGGCCCCAATACGATCCCAATAAAGCCGCGAGATCGGACACCCAGACGATTTCAAGAGGGCCCAGAGACGGCCCCAAGACGGCTCCAAGAGGTCGTCGTCACGTCGTCGTCGTCGTCGTCGTCGTCGTCGTCGTCGTCGTCGTCGTCCTTCGTCGTCGTCGTCGTTGTCGAATTCCATGTGTTTTTCACGTGTGCCCCCCCCCCTGAACGGGCAAAACAATTATGGTTGCTGCACATTGCGACCGAAAGCGTTTGTCGCTCGCATTCACCGCTAACGCGCCGAGGGAAGGGCTCCAACGTACGAATGTTGAAATATGTGTGAGTTTTTGACTCGTCAGAGGGGCCGCACGGGAAAAACACATGGGAAAGTTGCCGTCGTCGTCGTCGTCGTCGTCGTCGTGATGCCCCACGGTTGACACCGGGCAATTCCGATGCCCCACCAGGACCACCGGGTACCTCATGCCCAGACCCCCCCCCTTTCAAGGTCGAGTTCCCCGATGTCCCCCTTGGACCACCTGGTAACTCTGGTGTCCCACGGGCCGATGTCCCACGGGGGCAACCAGGTAACCGGGACAATCGGGTACTGCGGTGCCCGCTTTTTTCCATGATTTGTATGTTGGTGAGTGCGTGCGCCCAGTTTCATTTCTCCCTCCTGCCCCGCTCCTCTGGCTCGTTTGCCTCCTTCTCCTCCCCCTTGCCTTCCCACAGCTTGCGTTGGGCACCAGTGCGAGTCCCGCTGGCTGGATTCAGAGGGTTACGCACGCGCGAGTCTCCCTATTGTGGGTCGTGCCTTGTCTCACTGTCCTTCCTTCAGGGGCCGCTTTCTTCCTGCAGGGTTCCATGTAGTTTCGGCCACGTTCGCAGGACAGCTTGCTCATAGGTTGCGGACTGCGGTATCATCCTCGCCTTTCTCGCCTCCTCTCCCTCGTCCTCTTTCTCCCTTTGCCCGAGTCCAGGGCTATTGCAGGCTTTTTGGGACCTTCATCTCTACAGTGATGCTTGCTGCTTTGTCGCGTGCGCACATGAGATAGCCCCCCTGAGGGGCAGCGGACTTCGAGAGCGATCGTACCTTCAGGCGATTTTGTTGTGGGGGTGGGGGGGAACAAACAAAAAAAACGGGTAACTCCGATGTCCCACGGGGGACACCGGGTAACTCCGATGTCCCGCGGGCTGATGTCCCACGGAGACCACTGGGTAACTCCGATGTCCCACGGGAGACACCAGGTAATTCCGATGTCCCACGGGCTGATGTCCCACGGGGGCCGCTGGGTCACTCCGATGTCCCACGAGGGACACCGGGTAATTCCGATGTCCCACGGGGGACATCGGGTAACTCCTGCCCAGACTCCCCCTGCAAGGTCGAGTTGCCCGATGTCCCCCGGGGGACACCGGGTACTTCCGATGTCCCACGGGCCAGTGTCCCACGAGGATCTCCGGGTATTTCCGATGTCCCACGGGGGACTCCGGCTAACTCCGATGTCCCACGGGCCGATGTCCCACGGGGACCACCGGGTGACTCCGATGTCCCACGGGGGACCACGGGGTAACTCATATCCAGACACCCCCTGCAGGGTCGAGTTACCCGATGTCCCCCAGGGACCACCAGGTAACTCCGACGATTCGCGCGGGACACCGAATCATTGCCGAAAGCGCGCTTTTGCAAGGTCGACTTACCCGATGCCCTTCGGGGGACACCGGGTAACTGGGGGGCGTGGAGCGCACCCCCCGCTTACCCGATGTCTCCCGGGGGACACCGGGCAACTCATGCCCGATACCCCCCCGTGCATGGTCGAGTTACCCGATGCCCCCCCCTCGCCACCGGGTAACTCGTGCCCAACACCTCCCCGTGCAAGGTCGAGTTACCCGATGTCCCCCGGGGGACACCGGGTAACTGGGGGGTGTGGAGCGCACCCCCCAGTTACCCGATGCTTTCAAGGGAGGGCGCCAAGTAACTCATGCCCGTCGTCGTCGTCGCTGGTCGCCGGTCGTCGGTCGCGAGCCAGAAACAACTTGGGGGAACCCTGGGGAAAAGCAGCAGCAAAACTTACCACTCCAAGTGGTCGAGCCCATGAAGTGCTCAGACCGGCGTTTCCGTATTATTCCTCATCATATTCCTCATCATTTCCCACGTCGTCATCACCACCACCATTATCACAATCATCGTCGTCATCATCATCAGATCCCTGGAGCCCTCAGTCCTCAGGTCCCTGGAACCTTCAGTCCTGCGTACTAGTTTTATTTCAGGGGTCGACCTCCCCAAGTTGGCCCCAGGATGGCCCCGAGAGGGCCCAACCGTCTTTGGACAAACTGGACATGGATGTCCAAATCGTCGGGGCGCCGTGGGGCACTTCAAGGTGCCGCCCGCTGCGCCGCCCAGAAGACATCGATAGCCCCCCGCCGAAGCTTCAAGAACTGGCGGCCAAGACAATTTGGACATGGATGTCCACATTGTGCAGGCCCCAAGGGGGCCCAAGACAGCCCCAGCCCCCGCCGACGACGACGACGACAACGACAACGACGACGACGACGACGACGCCGCCGCCGCCGCCGCCGCCGCCGCCGCCGTCGTCGTCGTCGTCGTCGTCGTCGTCGTCGTCGTCGTCGTCGTCGTCGGCGGCGTGGTCGTCGTCGTCGTCGTCGTCGGCGGCGTGGTCGTCGTCGTCGGTGTCGTCGTCGTCGTCGTCGTCGTCGTCGTCGTCGTCGTCGTCGTGGCCGCTCCCCGGGCGGTGCGGGCCTGCAGTTGTGGGAGAGGGATGGGGGATCGACAGTCTGCAAGGCTGAGCTTCCTCCACGACGACGACGACGCTGAGGACCAACTTCGGCTCAAAATCATTCTCGGTTTCTGACCGTCCCCGAGCCCGAAAACAGCCTCCAGAGGCCGAACATCATGAAAAACCTCATCGAAACTCGAGCCTCGATCGTCGAGCGACGACGGACAACGACGACGACGACGACGACGACGACGACGACGACGACGACGACGACGACGACCACGACGACGACGACGACGACGACGACGACGGCGGCGGCGGCGGCGGCGGCGGCCACGACGACGACGACGA